TTCTGGCGGCGAGGGTTCCTGGGCAGCAAGTATGCTGGCCAATGAGTCAATGAGTCTTCTTGTAGGTGCCACAACCTCATTCACTTCAAAGTCAGGCACTAGATGGATAGGTAGAACGAGACGCCAAAGTTGGCGGTAGGCCAGTAACGGAACCAATGGTCTGAAAATGGCCAACCAGGTAGTCATTGTCAGAAGAGGCGCAAGGGAGCTTCCTAGTATGTATACATACGTCTCTGCAGGGGTGAGGCACCATGAGGGACTAAAACCACCAACTTGCCTAACTTGCACTCCCAATGGCCCTCCTAAATTCTCAATCTAGGGAAAGGTCACGACGGAGAAAAGGGGTAGGTATTACAACACGCGCGCGTACCTCGAGCATCATCGTGTACTCCGATTCCAGTGATAAACTTGGTACCAGGTGTGTCCTGAGAGTAAGGAGTGTTTCAACCCAGGCAGTTCGTGTTTGCTTTGGCCACAAACGAAGCGAGGGAATTTTCATCCTTCAGATGTCGAAAAGTAAGTGCTTAAACCATCAATTAGAAACGGCCGCACCTCTCGGTACACTACGAGAATGGAATTGGTGATTGCGGCTGGAGTCCCGAAAATACTTGGATCGGCAGCTTTATTGAAGCACCGGTGTTAAAGGACCGGAAGATAATCGATACGGCTGGGAGGGGCTAATGTGTTTGGACCAGCGATTTCTGTGGCACGGTGAGCTTCGCCGCAACCAAAACCGAGATTGCACCTACTCTCCAGGTGTTCAAGATCCCCATCATCTTTTATCCTAATTGAGCCGTCCCATGGCAGTACCACCCATATATCGTTCACGGTCAATTTCCCGGTATTTTCAACCTCAAAAGTATTCATTACGTATTTCGCCGCAGTAAAAGGTCGTTTCATCTTCGTGATTAATAGAGGTATCATCGAATCGTGGTTCTAGCTTGGCAACGGGATGTCGGACATTGGCAACTACGAACGCATCAGGCGCGCGTACGTTTCCTTGACGCTGGGCGGGGGTATCATTTAGACGCTTTCCACGCACGGCCAGGCTTTCACAAGTACGAAGGAGAGAAAGGAATGAGTAGTGCGCATTAATGAATTTCAAGGACGTTGGGATGAGGGGGGTCGCTTTGATAGGGACCTAGGGATGTCACATCAGCGACAATCACGTAATATTTATAAAACATGACTGCCGTTGTCCTCTCCTTCGAGTTGAGAAAAACCGATTCAATGATCTCAATTTGCACAACCGAAGTCAGTGCGTCCTTCGAGGCATCCTTGCATTCAACTTCGAGCGTTAAGCCAGTGAGATTCATTTCGGTATCCAGAGGGTTGCAAAGTGCTAAGTCGATCCAGAAAGGTTCTAAAGGAATGAAATTAGAGAATCGACTCGAGATTCACCCTACCCACGTACCTCCCACTTCGGCGAACTCCCTAAGGTCCAAGGCTGACCTATCGCCTCGAGTTTTCTGGTAAGCTGTCCACCTTTCTTGCATCTCGGTCCACACTGATGATTCAGAGACATCTCTTGAGGAAAATCGTACACGGGTCCTTGAGGGTAAACAGACATTCAGGGGCAATTTGGATTCTGTGAAGGAAGGGGTTTCAGGGTTGGTTGAAAGATAATGCTGAGCAAAAAGAATGAGCAGGGCACGCAGCACAACCTAATCCGGTTTGCTCACCTCAAATGCAAGCCGAAAATCTTCTACATACATCCTATCGTTGTCGAATTTATCAAAGGATTGCACTGTGGCTCAGAAGCTTCAGGAAGAGTTTGATGGCTGCAGTCGTATCGCCACTGGAGTACTTTAACCTGCCTATCAAAAGATTCATAAAAAAGGCATTGCCAATTAGAACTACCGCAATACCTAAGGCATGCTGAATACAAGCTTGCGTAGGATCAATCTTCGGGTCCTGTTCTTGAGCTTCAATCTCAAAGAACGATGGAGATAGAAGCACTTCTTTCCTGAATGCATGTGCATCGCTCGCCTGCTGGAAGAAGTATATGGTCAATGGTTTCTGGGATATATTGAGAGAAGTCCGTTAGTTCATCTACCCCATTGGCCATTGAAGTACATACGACACCACTTCGTTCTAGTTTCTTGGCAGCCAAGGTGTACCATAAAGCGGCACGTCTCTTCGCACCTCGACGACTACTTAAGGAGGCAGCTCGCGCCAGAAGAAGAGCGGAAAATGGCTCTTCGGCATTGCCAGCGGCCATGGCAAGCCATCTCTCACCATCGATACTTGCAAATTGGGGAATGCCAATCTCCCATCTGACGGCATACAGCAGTGCTCTATATTGTGACACTGCAGAAACTTCCTCATTATTCAATCCAAGTAGTTGCAGGGCAGCGGTTGCGTAAACAGAGAGAGAGGAGGCTGGAGCAAGGATGAGCGGCAGCACATCCGAACCTGTGGTAAAATCTTTGCGAAGAGTTTCCCAAACCAACGAGGCAAGTTTATAATCCCCTAATATAGTTGAAAATTCAGCCAAACGGCGATGCATCCATGTCTGAGACTCGAGAGAAAAAATGCCATTGGCAACAGATGAAGTAGGGGCGGGAGAAGAAGACCCGAAGATCCGACGTGTCGTCGAGGATAGTAGACGCGATGGGAGGCGTCTGGTTGAGGAAAACTATAGATTCATGGTCAGTGGAGTCAGCGTGACGCGTGAAATGTTCCACATTACCGCGTTATTCCATTCTATCACGTATCTCTCCATCCAAGGGATAAGAGAAACTGTCACAAACTCACGAACAAATCTCTGGGTATTCTGCGCGTCCGTCTCTGACATCGTGATTTCCATCACTACTGTTCGACGTTCAAGCTTTGGCCGCCGAATTTCAGGCGATCGTGAAACGTCCAATGGTGGGGATAGGCGGCTGCTCGCGAAAGGTATTCGTACGTTCACTTTCTCTAATGACGACGGAAGTTGCAAAAGATGAGTATTGAGATCAAACTGTTTCTTCACAGCGTTCAACAGAGCTACCGCCCTATTGATCGAGGATCCAGCTTAGACTGATGCCAATAATAGGAGATATTACTCACTCGTCCGGATTGAGATTCGAAGGCGTGGGATGGATAATTAGCGTGTACCGAAATAGGGTCGTGTCTACCCATGACGGAAGATCCAAGGTTCGAGCATGTAAGGCAGTAATGGCCTGCAGTGGATTGGGTGCGAGAGTAGAGGTAGCCAAAATCACTTCATGGGATTCATCAGACCAATACTCCGTATTCACAAACCACTTACACGCAACAGGGTGATTCCAGCCCTCGGTGCGGCATGGAGTTCTGTCACTGTCTGCACAAGCTTTAACATCGTCCCACCAACGCTCACGGTCCCTTGATTCGGCGTCGCCGAGCCATGTGGAAGCCCTTTGGGCGATTCTTCCACCTATCCAGTCGATTATCCGACTCGTTCGCCGCTCCTCGTCCTCGCGGCATTCTTCTTCAACGTCCACCAACGATGAGAACTTGACCTGAAATCTTGGATGAGTCACTTGAGAGAGGGTGCTGGTCCTTGTGGTAACTAGATGTGTACGGTCACAATGAGGATGCCGAACACCAGTAAAGCGCCCAAAATAATCTTCAGGCAAACTCAAGGCCTACCTTGAGAGAGGTGAGCGAATGCCGACAATAGCTCGGGAAGAGGTGGAAGACCCTTTGGGCTTAACAAGAGGTTTTCAACGTCCGGGGATGCATGTATAAGAATATGCGGGGCCAATGAATGCGGAAGGGTGGGCACGGTAGTCGACATCCAAAGGTCCGCCAGCTTTGGTTGAAATTGTGGCAGTGCAGCTGCTGAGCCAGAAATATATAAGTATGCTCCAACGTTTACGAGCAGCCTGAAGTTGCGGACTAAGTATCCAGAAATAAACAAATGTCTAAGCTCTAGATCGATTAATGGCCACACCGAAGTCGCTGGCATTTAAGCGACTTCGCTTCAAGGCTTGAGGTTCTTCGTTGAGACTCATGAGATTACCTATGAAGTTTCTTAGATTCTGGGACCGCCAATGCTGGGGCAGAATTTACCGATTCAGGCCAGCAGCCAAATTTGTACGGAAGACCGTCTCTCTGGGAACCTAGCTTTCGACCTGTTTCCTGCCGAGCTTTTGGACACGACCTCACGCCATTTGTTTAACCGCGCTTCATATCCATCTTGGAATCATATCACATATATACGTACTGATTTTTTCCGGGGTTTCATCTTTGAAGTATGACGGTCCGCTTGGTTAAAGATTTACTATGACATGAACGTAGTACAGTGGCGCTGGGTGGGCAGTGGTTAGGACTGATTAATAAGCTAAGCAACCACCCTTGTCCCTAGTTCGGCGTTTTGGTATCTGCGCAATGATCCAATATCTGGGTATTGAGACCTAATCCCTGACAATAGCCATCGTATGGCAAAATGTGCAAGATGCTACGTCCACTTGGGTACACGCCAACACACATCTGAGGAACCTCTCGCTTAGATGGGATCTCGCATGACGGATGGTATAGTGGCATTGGGTGTTGTGAGTGAATTGACAGAACCACACTGTTGGTGCTTGCATGGCGTCTGGCGCTGATCTCCAATCTACCAGTTAGCTTGGAAAGAAGCGCCCGGACACTTTTACATGAATCATGTTTCCATACGATGAAGATGATCGATACACCTGGGGAGGAATATTTCTGTTCGGAGCATCCGCACGTCGTCCCCAACCAATGAAGCGGAAGGAGGTTGCCGGTAATTGATCAGTGGGGAAGGCCAAGCGCCAGGAAACAATAAGGAGAATACAGTATTGTTAGCGGCGCTAGAAGAAATCCCCCAAAATGACCTTCTACCTAAACGAATTGCTATATAACGCTCAGCCAAGAAACAAGCGACGTTGTGTAACAGAAATCCTCTGATTTAGAGTTTCCTGATTTAAAATTGGTTCCGCTGGATTGGCTGGCCAGGAAATTTGAGCCATTCAAAATTTCATTGACCCCTCCAAATCCTCCTCGTTCCACCTCTTCTCGTCCTCTCCCTTACTCCTCTGTAATGGGTCTCGCAGATCTTATCCTCTCTGTCGTCCCCTACCGCCTTCCGCCTTACCTCCGGCAGTATGAGAAAGGTGTCACTCCATTGAGCACAACCCCAATCGTCGTTGGCATAATTGTTGCATACCTCATCACCATCTTCGGCATTCAGGCTGCCATGAAACCTTACCAGCCTTACAAGCTCACCTTTCTTTTTCAAGTCCACAATATGTTTTTGTCCCTTGGGAGTGGGTTGTTACTCGCATGCATGCTTGAGGAAGTTATCCCGTTGTTATTCAACGCTGGCATGTTTGGCGCGATTTGCCATACATCGTCGTGGACTCCGGTAGGTGCTTTCTGATTCGGTGTTCACATTGGCGAGCAAGGCACCCGACACGCCCCACGTCTAACATACCTTCGCGGGTTCACTGACCAGTCCCCCCAAATTATATTATTTCACACCGTTTAGAGATTGGAGTTTTACTATATAATCAATTATTACTTCAAGTATATTGAGCTCATCGATACCATTTTCCTCGCCATAAAGAAAAAGCCTCTCGGTATGTCGTTGTTGATCCAAAAAAATGACTGAGCTCAATAATACCTCTTAGCCTTCCTGCACGTTTTCCACCACTCCGCCACTGCTCTTCTATGCTATACCCAGCTCGATGGCCGTACCAGTGTGGTACGTCTTCAACTGATATGCATGATCTGACGAACTCCCTGACGATATAATAGTCATGGGTCCCCATCACTCTTAACCTCGGTGTTCACGTCTTGATGTACTACTACTACTGGGCCACCGCTGGTGGGCGCAAGATTTGGTGGAAGAAATATCTCACCACGATGCAAATCACGCAGTTCGTTATCGACCTCATCGCCATCTACTTCTCCGGTACGTTTTTTCCAATTAGCTTTATTCCGGTTTTCTCACACTATGATGCCGTTTGTTTGCTCTTCGCATTGAAATGGATGAAAAACAGTCTGGCAACGTGCGGCTCATGAGAAATGGATCCCCAACATAAACTTGCCCCACGTTGCGGATTGCGCAGGAACGAATGCAGCTGCTGTTTTCGGCATGCTTCTCATCTCGTCCTATCTATTACTCTTCATCGACTTCTACCTGCGGACGTATAAGCCAGCAGCTAGTGCCAAGAAGGGCGCCAATGGTGTCGCCAATGGCTCAATCAAGAGAGATCTCTAAGCGAGTGGCCAGCAACTGCAACTGGCTGTCGTATGAGACTGCGTAGAGGTCAGAAGTCATTGCCTGTGATGCTACTCAAGGAGAGGTGTCATGGGGTTTGGGGTTTAGGGTGTTCGGAGTCGCCTGGTTCCAATTCGGGTCTCACTAGATGCAGCAACCTCAATAATGTCCATAGGCTACAGTTTGTGTTCTGAGAATGTTAAGCATATATTTAAAGTACCTATACTCGTTTTACTCATATTTATGGTGTTGTTTTCTCGAAGCTGCTCTGCGACTGGTCTGTGGTCATTCCCACGAAGAGCTGGTGTGGAGACAAAGTGCAGGCGTCATTCTTATCTCAATTCCCCAGGCCCCAAACCGTCCAACTGGGCTGCGATCTCGGCAGAGGTTGGGATGGCTGACTCTGCCTTGCCACACGCACAGGGACTTCGATGGCCAACCCCTCTAACGTACCCTGTTGCAGGAGCACTTCACCCGTGCACCCTATTCTGTGGGCACAACGGCAGGTGATCGTGAAACATACAGTAAGGCTGCTCAAATTAAGATGGCTGCGCATCGGTTATTCGTGATTTAATGGAGGAACGAGATTAAATAAGACTTGTACAGTATCCGCAGACCATGGCTCATATGCCTTTATCCTCTTCGTTTGCTGCACTTAACCTGCTGCTCTTTGCTGCACTTAACCTGCTGCTCTTTGCTGCCTTGTTTCCTAGTCCAGGCACTTCTTGAGTTACTTGTCCCTTCATTTGGATCTGTGTTGTGAATTTTTCGGTCTTGCAGTAGGTGAAGGGCCGGGCTTTATGGGGAGCCCGTTTATTTGCGACATTTATGGGTGTTCCCGTGATTTGTGAGTTTCTTGCTTTCACATCTCCTTCTGGTTGTACACTGTCTTCTCTGTGCGAAGTCTCAGTGCAAGTCGGGGCTGTCGTCACGCTACATCTCCTTTTGAGCCACCTCTGCATGAAGACAAGACCCGTTGTATTCTTGCTGAGTCCAAATTTACAGAAGATACATACACAGCTGATCTGAACGTAATAGCTAGCTATTAGATAATGACAGGCATGAAGTCGTTGCACAAAATATGTCTTGCTCGAATGTGAAGGGATGGCAACGATCCGCTCCGCGTTAGCAAAAAGGAACAGGAAGGATATACGTATTATATTCCAATGTTACTCGATAGATGTCTATAACAAGGAATGAATTTTGACACCGCATCCTTCACCTCATTCACCCCGCCACTCATCAGCATTGAATAACGACATGACCAGAATTCGGTACCCTGGGATCAGCGGCGGGATCGAACACCCCATCTCTGTGTCCAATCACGGCTGCGACACTCACTCCAGGGGCTACCCAGCTAATATTATGGCCGAGGCTAGCAAGGGATGCAACGGTGGCATTATTGTAGCCCGTAACGTTCTGTGAAACAGATGTGTACTCGACAGTGGTGACTTGTGGAAAAATTTGATCATGTACTCGCGGGGCATTAACAGCTTGCTCTGTGCATAGACAAGATATATAAACATGGTAAACTGAGGAATTGAAAGAATTGCTTACGAGCTGTATAGTTGTGATCTAAGTAGTGACGCAGAGTTTGAATGTTAGCGGTGATGATCCTTGAGCCGCCCGCTGCCCCATTGGCAAAGACAAAGCGACCATGTTCATCTTCCGCAATAACTGGACTGATAGAAGAAAGGGGGCGTTTGCCGGGTTGAATATAATTTGCGGGTGTAGCGACATATCCGAACGCATTCGATGAGTCCTATACGGTTTGCGTAAATATGGTGGATCAACTAGGAGAGGTGGTGGGTATATACTTACAGGTGAAGAAAAGTCGTCCTGAGGATGAATCATAGGTCGTTACTATGGCGCACAAAACGAGTGATTTGGCCAAGTACGGCGCACCATTTCATCGTTCAAAATCACGCCCGTTTCGTGAACCATGATATGTGAGCCGAAATATAGGTTGACAGTAGTTGTCAAACTGTTCCCGGAAGCATGCGATCCATGTTGCTTAGCATATGGGCAGTATGGTGAAGTGGTGAGTACATGCCTGATAACGAGTCCACTCTCATCGGCGGCAACGATTTGACTCGTGCCTGGCGTCTGCTTGATTTCGAAGCCGGTTGGATCATACAGCTGTGGTTTTTATCATCACTCGATGCTCAATTCAAGCTTTGAGGGAAGAAGGCAAACACACCGATGGTGGCCCGGTTGAATTGCTTGGCATCACGGCCCTAATCTTCGCTCCCATTTGAGGCTCCATGAACTCTAGCTCCAGTTTGGTCACGTTCTTTACAAACTTTGGGTCACCGAGTACTGTTCTTTGTCCGTATGCAAACTGGAGGGGACACTATCAGTTTGAAGACGGTGAGTCAAGGAAATGATGCCTACCTTGAAACTCTCTACTAGTTTGTGTGCCGTCAAGTTTGAATCCACTACCAGTCCCGTGGTGGGATCCGTTGTGTAGCTCAGATCATATCCGCTCAAAATGTTCAACGCGCCAAGAACGACAGTCCCTGACGAGGGTGCCACAGTTGAGGTAAGCTTAAGGCCCTTATAGTGGATACTGGCCGGTTCTCGAATCTCAACCTTATATCCTTCACAAATAGTCGATTCAGAATAAATCAAGTTTAAACGTATGGATCTGACTCACCTTCCCAGTCTTCAAGGGTAATAATACCTGGTTGCAAGTAGCTATGTCGGGCAGCCTTGACACTCGCTCGGGCGATCCATCTATCTTTGCAGTAAAACTCATCCGCCCCGTGGTTCGCTACTGCCGTGAGGGTCTTGGCGTAAGCAGGTCGGTGGGCAACGGATCCTTGCTTAAGGAGTGTGCCGTTGGGGGCATAAACAGAAGAAAACTCCGTGTCTGGAGAGGAAACGAGCTGAGTAAAAGTAGGATTTGGTCGGGGTCGGGAAGATTCACCGTTAAGAATAAACGCAGCATTGGATGCAATCGCTCCAGCAAGTTGTCCTTGGACTAAAATGAATTACACGCACATCAGTGATGAATGCTCTTTAGAGTGAGGATCGGGGGATTAGAAGTAACACGAACTGACGAAGCCTTCCTTGGCAAGTTTGATGGCAGGTTGGAATAACCTTTTCCAGGGCAAACGGCCGTACATTTTATGAATCGACTCCAGCCCACGGAGCTCACCGGGGACGCCAACAGAGAGGCCTCCAATGGTAGATGCAGTAGCTACACCAAATACTGTCATGGGCTGCCGCTCGCTGTAAAAATGGACACGTCTCACAGTTAGTTTGAGTGACAAACATTGTCTCATTCGACGCCCTTGGTGCTGTCTCTCGGAAATCGATCATTTTGTACTTGCCCTTAGGGCTCCTCACTAGCGCGAAGCCTCCACCACCTACATTCCAGATCAGACAATGATGTAAACGCGACAAAAGGAACAAACCAATGCCGGAATGATGTGCGTCCACCGTGCCCACACAAAGCACCGTCGCAACAATGGCATCAGCAGCATTCCCACCAGCCCTGAGAATGTCACCCCCAATGCCTGAACACACAGCTGATTCACTTGCCACGGCACCATGCGTGGGCTTCCTGAGCGTGTTACCCCTTGTCTTCAGAGGCGTGCCTTTCACATAGACGAAGCACCGTAGCAACGAGACCAAAAGGAGAGCAGGGCTTGAAAGCAAGGAAAGACGCATATATAGTGTCACTGGGACGTCTAGAAACCAGACTGTTCGGCGTGTAGACTAAGTCCCGCTGCTCGGGAGTGGGGAATCTTAAAAGCAAGATGCCCTTGGACAAGGGACATACATATTATGTATTTCTGCGCGGCTACGACCTTTGCTGCCGGTTGGGATTTAATCCGGTTAAGCGGCGTTGGCCCTAAAAAAGTTGGCGCTCATGAGGATTTCCTTATTTAGAAAAGCAGTTCAGGCGCCGAACCCTCATCCTTCGCAAAGTGACTAGCGGTCAAATTGTTGGATGAACAAGCCATGACGACGCGCCAGTATGCATGCCATGCTTATATCAGTTATTTGATATTATACCAACATGTTTCACTATTTCGCCAAGTATACGCTACTACGTTCTACATGTGGCACTTATTAGCATCTTATCTTTTTATCACTTTTGTCTGATATCCCGTTATCGCTTATACCGTTTGCGCAGGTTACGATGTTATCTATACAGAGAGCGCTGAGTGTCACATACTTACTTATTAATTGCTTACATATTAATAATGAGACGGTCGTGGAACACTTCTGATTGGTTGATTTCCAAGCCTCTGATTGGTTCTTCATGTGCGTGACGTCTTCACGCGTCATACTTATTCGCCTCACGTGCCAGCTTTCAGTTATTCACTTTCGCGCTCCTCTCATTAATATTCTCCGTTGCCTCCTCACTTCTTCACATGTCCCTTATCCAGCTGACCTCTTGCGGGCTTCATCACATGCATGAAGCATGCACGCACGTGAACCGTTTACCTCGTTCACTTCCGGCGCGTTCAGTGTTTCTGGAAAGCGGAGAGTTTTAGTGACTCGCTGCTATAACAGAGATATCAAGCGGGCCTACGCATTGTAACCATCGTACTGAGGCGTTCGGCTCCGTGGCGTTCGATGTTTCTGAAAAGCGGAGAGTCTTAGTGACTCGCTCGACCACCTCCCCCCCGATTTCGATTGAGAACCACGCTCGTCGCTATGTGCACGACGATCTCCTCATCTCCATCACTCAACAGCAACGAGGAACATAACGTGCTCAGGTCTTCGACAGTAACCGCGGATGGGCGTCTGCACGAGGCCAATGGAAGACCGCATGATAATAATAATAGTACTTAAGTAAAAGGAAAGGAAATCAGTTACAAAATATGATTTTGATTTAGCGCCTGAAGCTTAAAGTGGTATTCATGAACTATGTATGTATCTTTGGTTGGTTTTAAGTAGAAAATATTTCCTCATTTTCGTGATTGCGCATGTGATTCTTGTCCGTTCCACCAAGGGGTGTTATTAGGTTTATATTTTAGTTTCCACCTGGAACCATGCATGTCGAAGCGTAAACACGGGCGTGCTACTCTGCCTCTCACCTTCCCGATCACTTCTCCGCTGGCTACATCGTTCAGAATCGCCATCCCAACACCCTCGCCACCAGTCCAACTCTCGAATCACTTCTTCACCTCAATGAAGCGTCCAATGCTCCTAAACCCAAGTACGAATCCCCAATCCCTATGTATTCGAAAACTCCACACTTTTCTAAAGCATTCTCCTCTACTTCTACTGAGCTGAGAAAGGACTTGGTGGAGCGGGCCCATTCATCACCGATGCTTCTCGCTACGCATCTGCAACGCCGACTACAACTCAACCACTCCACCATTAATGACGACGGTCACTATTCAAGTTATTCTTCAAGTTCTATGTTTCAACCGCACCATCAGGCACTCAACTAATATTAGCCATGAGTCTCATAACGATGAGACTGCCGCTATCGCAAGTATGTTGATACAGATTTCTTCGAGGAAGAAAGATTGTATGGGTAAACGACCGTCCTCCCCCAACCGCATACCATGGCCCCCCTTTGTGACTTACAAGAATGATCATGATACAAATGCTGTTTACACATGAGGAAGGGCAAAGGTATATACCTACAATTGATGCTCGCAAGGATCCGGGTGCCACTTTGAATCATAAGACCATCATACATTTTCGTCATATACACACAGCTTTCATATATCACGCGACCACATAAGACCCCTCAAATCGAGACACAGCCAGCTGATAGATGGACAATTTCCTGTCAACCTCTTCTATCAAGTTATTGATTGGTTCCACATTCCATCATTGGATATTTGCAGGACATCGTTGTTTCCACGTCGATGTGCATTTACATATATCGATGTCTTGAGAATCTAACTGCCAACCCGACCGAGCCGGTTTGAAGGGGCTGAGTATCGGACTTACAGTAACCCCCATCCAGAACGTCTACGCTGTGCGCTAGGTAGTCTTAGGACGTCCCAGATTTTCCCACAGGTCAGTTCTCGGCAGCAAGCCACTTCACCAGGATGTCTACGGTGAAATAGGCCATTAAGGCCGCGCAAGCAACACCCCTTGATAGGGTCTTATACTGAGCTGACTAACCTGACCCAGTTTGCCCAACCGGTTTTCACGGATTGACACTGGAATGAGAGTTGCAATGACGACCTTCGTGGATGTTAAGCGAGCTCATATATCAAGGGTTGTTTACTGGAGCCGGCCTTCCATTTATTGTACGCGAAGTCGAAGCGAAATTGGCTTCTTTGTCGTCTCCCCTACACTGCCCTTGCGGCCATGTGGTCACAATCCCACTTATAACGTTATTCTCTGCTTCTTCCTCCCCTCCCTTCCGCCTGGTTCTTTTTCATCGTCCTTGTCGTTGAAGGCGTACAATCTAGTAATCTAACAAAAGCCTGATGTCCGCGTAAGTTCCTCTGTCATTTATTTTTGACGACCCCTACATTCAACGTTTTACTGCTTTACTATTTTCCCTTCATCAACACCCCAGAACCGATATTGAAGACCAGTTGTTCGTCACCAGAGCCCGCGTCAGGGAGGAAAAAGTCATCACCGATGAAAAGGAAAACCCTCATGCAGGAGGCATCGAAACGGCAGAATGGGGCGACGTCTTACATCATCGGCCTGAAGTCACGCCGGAGGGTGAATTGTGGGCCTTGCCCACCGAGGATGAAAAGTCGGGTCCCAATAGGCTTGGGAGAGTAGCTGATAAGTTGTGAGTGTGACATTTTCCTCTCGGTCCTCGTTTTTTTGCCCAATGGGGCTCGAGCTCGAACCCAAAATAGAAATCGACGACTCGATCAGTTTCGATGCCGAGCCTGAATTTCGAATGATGCTGATGATGCTCTCAATTTATATTCTAGACCTTGGACCGCCTACACCATTGGTATAGTGGAGATGGCGGAACGGTTTTCCTACTATGGCACTACGGCAGTCTACACCAACTTCATGTATGTTTCCACCTCGTCACACCGTCACTTGACTAGTTGAACTACTTTGCATTCGACATGGACTGGACCCTCAGTCAGCGGCCTCTCCCACGCGGCTCACGCACCGGTGCAGGCGGACATGACCACGTTTCAGGAGCCCTTGGGCGGGGCATCCAAGCCGCAACAGGTCTAACCACCTTCAACCAATTCTGGGTCTATGTTGTTCCTTTGTTCGGTGCTTACATCGCGGATACAAAATTGGGACGTTATAAAACTATTTGCTGGGCTGTGATCATTGCGATGATTGGGCACGTTTTGCTGATCGTGAGCAGTGTTCCGGGTGTTATTGAGCATTCTAGTGGGGCGTTGGCCTGTTTTACGCTTGCGTTGATTGTTATGGGAACGGGAAGTAAGTATTTGTTTTTAATGCCTGTGGCCTGATGTGTTGCTCCCCTGAGCCCTATCTTTGTCCCCTAGCCGGTGGATTCAAGGCCAATATTTCGCCTCTTGTCGCTGAGCAGTATCAAGTGTCTGCCATGCGTGTCAAATCTCTCTCTGATGGCACCCGAGTCATCGTCGATCCCGCTGTGACGACGGCACGCATCTACCTCTACTTTTATCTTCTCATCAATGTCGGGGCTCTCGTCGGTCAGCTAGGGATGACCTACTCCGAGAAATACGTCGGTTTCTGGTTGGCCTACACACTTCCAACCGTCTTCTTCTTCATTTGCCCCATCATATTGTTCCTCGGCAGACATAAGTACAAACAAAGTCCCCCTCAAGGCTCGATCGTCGTCGAGGCTTTACGGGTTTGGAGGACTGCAATGAAAGGTACGGTTGTCTGGACGGACCCAGTTCGGACTTGGAGAAATTGGACCCATCCTGGTTTTTGGGAGAAGGCTAAGCCTAGCAGGATTCTGGAGTCTCAGCCTGAGGGCGGACGACCTTCTTGGCTAACATATGACGATATCTTCGTGGATGAAGTCAGGAGAGGACTCAAGGCTTGTCAAGTCTTCTTGTTCTTCCCTTGCTACTGGATATGCTATAACCCTCTCAACACTACGCTCACATCGCAAGCGGCAACGATGACAACGAACGGAGTTCCCAACGACGTCATCAACAACTTGGACCCACTCGCTCTGATCATTTTCATCCCCATCTGTGACTATGTCATTTATCCATGGCTTGCACGGATGGGGATTCGATTTACACCGATAAAGAGAATCTTCTTGGGATTTATGACCGGCGTAGCAGCAATGGTCTGGGCGGCCGTCGTTCAATATTACATTTATCAGACTTCACCTTGTGGCTATCAAGCAAATTCCTGCGATACTCCTTCCCACTTAAGCGTCTGGATCCAGTCTGGCTCGTATATCCTCATCGCCTTCAGCGAAATCTTCGCTTCCATCACCGGACTCGAATACGCCTTTACGAAGGCACCGAAAAACATGAGATCGGTTGTGATGAGTGTCTTTCTGTTCACGACTGCGATTTCGAGCGCAATCACGGAGGCATTGAACCCGTTGTCCGCGGATCCTCATTTGATTTGGAATTATGGGAGTGCGGCCATCATTGGGTTCGTGAGTGGCATTGCGTTTTGGATTTGCTTCAGCCATTTGGATAAGCAGGAGGATGAATTGAACGAGATTACTGCTATGACGGGGACGGGATTGAAGACGGTTGACGAGAGGGATAGTATTTGAGGGTGTAGCTATGTGGTGGGTTGATTTTGTGCTGCTCCCTTGATTTTTGAAAAGTTTTTGGTGTCTTAATCGTGCCAATTTGTAGCAGGTCCTACCAATCTTCCCGACGCGAACGTGCAAGAGGTCCTGTGATCATTGCCAATACGCTAGATTTCCATTGTATTCACTGCGTAAAGGGGTCAAAATTTTGGATCCTCAGTAGATACCTGTTTGGATGTACTCGGAGATTTTTGATCCGATTCTGATGTGTAAATTTTGGATACATCCGTAATTCGAGCTACACGAACGAAACTAGATATGTGAATGAATGAATGAATGAATGGAAGCGTTCATGTCCGGCCAGCCGTGTTAGGAGGTAGGAAGTGAGTAGGGGGTGTGGATGGGGAAGCCGCCCGTGTCGCGGATGTATCCTACGGTAAGAGGGGTGATTTTGTTGAAACATTCACATGCACCCGCTCCCGCTTAGCCCGGTGGCACCTTTCCTATTCTGGCCACTCCTTTGCGCCCCCCCTTGTCGCGTTGGGGATTGTGCTCCGACGCCCTTTGCCTCCCAACTTTGTCCTTACACCACACATCCCTTTGTGTTATCACCTACAGTTTTTCACCCCCCAATGAGACCGATTTCACTAATCCGCACCTCAGAGTCGCAAAACATCATGAAAAATTTCATTAAAATTGTAGAGTAACAAGAATGTGAATACCTGCCAAAATGAACCGAAATTATGAACAATGTTCTATTGTGAAGTACATGTGCAAGAAGGCCTCCCAAATGCCCATGTCACCCCTCAATGATATTGCGTGACATTGTGTGACATTGTACTCAGACACTCATGCCAAACCCCTTCCACTGCTTGCTCCATGTCCCCTGATGCCTCCAATGTTGCAGGAGGCTTGTTCTGCTGAAGTTGGGGATAGTTATAAGCCATCCAGTCCCTCATTAGGATCTTGGATGGCTTTGTGGTACCTTTTGTTCCACCAAATGTGTCTTTTCTTCATGCCACCTCCCTGGCCCTGAGGAAATTTGTATCCGGTGCGACTACTGGACTTATCCGGAACTCCAAATTCTTATGACGTAAACCAGCGTGACTGGACAAATGACATAAAATGGACAAGCCTGGTATCGAACCCAGGACTTCTAGCATGCATCCATACACTACTCGCCCGTTATGCCAGGGGGGGGTACCCCTTCCCTGATGGTTTGGGAGATCACTTGATCCCTTCCTGTCAGAGTCGGGATCTTTGTCAGAGGCTGGATTATTGTCGGAGTCGGAGATTGTGGCAGAGGTCTGTTGGAGCGCGCGCACGGATATGCGGGCGGAAATATGCGGCGCGTCCGGAAGCGCTGTCCAAGGTTAGCAGAGTGGGATCGCGGCCTCAGCGACTCAGGTGGAGCGCTGTGCCCTGAGCTTGACGTTTGGGGGAGATCCCGTATTTACAAACTGACACTTACAGCGGACTTCAAACAAGACTTGCGGGCGGAGCGGACCTATAGGAGGAGCACGGACTCCGTGAGCACGGACTCAGAGGGGGGGAAGCCCCCTTTGCAGAAGGAGAGACTCAGAACAGACAGGGGGGGTACTCTAGTTGATTTCAGACTGGGGTCCCCGAAAGTATTTACAAGGTAGATAAATAGGCAAGAGGGAATATAGAAAGGCCGGTCAGTCCGGCGCGGTCCGGCGCGGAGATAAGCGGGGATTGTCAAACTAAATAGGACAAGAGCCCGGGAACTGGAAACAAGGAACAGATCAATAAACAATAAGTGGCAAGGGTTATTGATGAATAACTGAATGAGATCAATAACCTAGTGCCAATAAAGAGGGGATCAAATGCCGATATTGGCAGGAAGCAAACAATGAATGGCACTCGGCAAAGAATGAATGACAAGCTGCCAAGTGACAAATGGCTGGAGGAAAAGCGGAGGTCAGCGTGCGGCGCCGATACAAGTCCGCAAATAAGCGGGGTCGGTGCGGTGCCGACACAAGTCCGCAACAGAGGTTGATCTGCCAGCACTGTCACACAAGGACAGCATGAAGGCCAACAGAGGTACAGAGGTGTTGACCTGACCAGAGGTGTCAAGGGCAACCAGAAGTGGCCAGAAGGTGCAGAGATGGGCAGAGGGTGTGGAGTGGGCAGAGGGTGCAGAATGCACGGAAGCGGGGCATGGCTGTGACCACATAGCGGGAAGTGATGAGTGTGGTTCGGATGGAGACAAGGCAGGCATGACTGAATGCCGGGAGCACCAAGGGCTCAGGAACTGGAGGTAAGGTCGGAATACCGGCAGGGTCTAGGTTCTGATTACTGGCCAAGTCTCATGCAGTAAGGCAGGAGGCCAGACATGGGGTTGGGGGCTGGTTAGGATGGGTTTCGGGTCGGCGGATTCGCCTATCGGCATTGGTTCGCCGCTGACGGAGCCCTGGGATTTGTCGGTCATGACACTTCCTCCAACACTCGCCCTCAATTTGGGGTGTTAGCCTCCAAATTGATGTACCGTGGCTGTCCACCATGAGGAAATTTGTATCCGGTGCGACTACTGGACTTATCTGGAGCTCCAAATTCTTATGACGTAAACCAGCGTGACTGGACAAATGACATAAAATGGACAAGCCTGGTATCGAACCCAGGACTTCTAGCGTGCATCCATACACTACTCGCCTGTTATGCCAGGGGGGGGTACCCCTTCCCTGATGGTTTGGGAGATCACTTGATCCCTTCCTCCAACAGGCCCTCCAATGAGTTTGCATGCTGACCCATTAAAAGAAACAAGCAAGACAGAATCTGAGTTGGGGAATATAGGGATGGTTAATTGGCAGATTGTTTGGGTTAAAGTTATGAATTGTGGATAGAAACATGCTCCTGACTAGCTTCTATGTATCATCAAAACAAATAAAGCCTGGCATGTGTAATGATGGCCTTTTACCCACTGGCTGCTTGGCTAGCTCTTGGTAAGGTGGAGAGAGCTACATGAGGTCGGCATGGTTAAGTGGTACACATGGCCACTTTTTCATGTCCAGGTTTGCTATGCTTCCTAATTTCTGCATCCATTCAGCCTCAAATTTGGTACACAAGTAGCCCTAATGTCATATCCATCCATGGCCATCATCCTCAACCACCTCTGTTCCTCCGGATTCCCTCTGCTCCTTTATCACTAACCTCAGAGCCTCTGGTTTCCACAACCACCTCTGACTCCCCCGATGGTCACCACCTCTCCAATTCAATATATTACCTATGCCTCCCTAAGTACGGAACCCCAAAGGCCTCCAGACAGCTCTGACATCTGCTAGTGCACTCCTGCCCCTGCTGGGCAATTCACTTGCTTGCCCTGCAAGTCTACCTTTGGGCCTATCCCTCCTTTCCGTTTCTGGGTTATAGCCCACCATTCTGCTAACCCCATAACCTGACTTGTCAGTAATATTCAGTCGGCTAACGTTTAACTCCATTAGTTCTGCTCTGCTTGGCCCTGCCATTCATGGGCCTTCCCTCGCTGTAACTATATATACATAACTTGTAGATAGGTTACACCCTAGTGATAAAATCGACTAGAGTTAATCCCCCTTTAGTTCTTGCTCCCAGTAAGTAAATTAGGGCACAGATGTGTAACTTGGCACAGTGTCAGGGCACACCCGCCTGACCCGGCCCCACCCGGCCCCACTTCACCTGGTACCCCGCCACCCAGTCCTCTCCTACCTCCTCCCCCCTTCCTCTTTCTTTCTTTCCCCATTTCACTTCCTCTTCATTTATTTCACTTTCTCTTTATTTTCTCTTTATTCTACATGGACGACCTTTCTCTGTATCAATGTACCATTGACCCACCCACAGCGTGCTCATGACACGCCCAGCCCGGGCGCTTCGGGCGACCCCCCACTATGTCCAGCTCGCACGTTCACAGTGGATGCCCTCAGGATCCCCCACGGGGACACCTGGGTGACTGCGGCTGTATGCGAGGATGACGTGGCACCTGTCATGTGACCCAAGCCGCATGTATATAAACATACCTGAAGTGGGAACCAAAGAAGTAGCCTTCTTCTCACCCTTTTCCACTTCAGTCTGAGTGGCCAGGGACTGTCTCCTGAGCCGGGCCCACCAGTACGCACGCCCGCTCCACACCCCACAAGACTTCTAGTGTTGGGCGTCTCACCTGGGCCTCCTCTACCCCAGATGCGTCCCTGACAGCAGAAGAAGGCTTCAACCTTGTCTCCCCTATCCCTCCCCCCTCCCCTGCCATGGTAACCGAAGAGCAATATGATGACCTGCTGGCTTGGTTCCAAGAACTACAGGCCATTATCGAAAACCAGGTCTTGAACCAGCCTGTTATAAAAATGGGGCCTAATTGGCCCATTTCTATAGCGTTCAGGTGCAGGAGGGGGCCGTGACATTGAGAAGATGTTACAATTAATGTAACAGGTGTTGTAACAAAGGTGTTTACAGTAACATTGACCTCGGGTTTTTGGGTAGTAATTGTTGGTTAGGTTGTTATTATTTTCATGTCACGTGATAATATACTGTACAGAGGCCATAAGAGGCTAAAAATGGGAATTTCCCATTTCCATAACACAGCCAGCACCTGCCTCCATGCCCGCACCTACACCCGCCCCTGCACCCACACCCGCACCCAGACCCAAGGGGCCTAAGGTTGCCCCCCCCACCGCCTTCTCAGGAGCCAGCGAGGACCTTGACCGTTTCAAGGCCGAATGCGGCATCTATTTCCACGTCCACGTGGCCGAGTTCCCCACCCCCCTCTCTCAGATCCTCTTCGTGTTGTCCTACATGAAGGGGGGGACTGCAGGAGCATGGGCAACCTAGCGTACCATCACGCTGCTGACGGCAAACTCTCCCACCCTCACCATGGACGAGTTCAACACGGAACTCGATGCCATGTTCCAGGACCCCAACCGGGAAGCCACCGCCCAGCAGAAGTTGGCAGGCATCCGACAGGGGAGTGACTCCATGGACAAAGTCATCCAGGAGTTCGAGATACTGGGACCTGCCTTGCGGCTAGGCGA